TGAGAGTTTTTATCATGAATGGGTGTTGGACTTTGTCAAATGCCTTTTCTGCATCAATTGATAAGATCATGTTGTTCTTGTCTTTTGTTTTGTTTATGTAATGTATTACATTGATTGTTTTTCTGATATTGAACCATCCCTGCATACCTGGTATAAATCCCACTTGATCATGGTGAATTATTTGTTGATATGTTGCTGAATTCTATTGGCTAGAATTTTGTTGAGGATTTTTGTGTCAATGTTCATGAGGGATATTGGTCTGTAATTTTCTTTTTTAGTGGTGTCATTACCTGGTTTTGGTATCAGGGTTATGTTGGCTTCATAGAATGAGTTTGGGAGTATTCCATCCTTTTCTATGCTCTGAAATACCTTTAGTAGTAGTGGTGTTAACTGTAGAGGAATTTTTTAATGAAAGATTTTTTAAAACAGCTTAGAAATGATTAATGGAGCCATTGCTCTTCACCTCTAGTTAGCAGTATTCAGAGCCAACTGGCAAATTTCCATTTCTTCAGGATTGCCACTTAAATTAAATGTGGTTTCAAAGTAGACTGATTTAGGAAGCAGCATACAAATGCAACAACTGGATTGCTATCTGTCTTGTTATCGTTTTCTGAAATTACGTGTTTGCTACTATCCCTTGTGGAGCCCTGGTGGCACATTGGTTAAGAGCTATGGCTGCAAACCAAAAGGTTTGCAGTTCAAATCCACAAGCCACTCCTTGGAAACCCTATGGCAATGGGTTTGGTTTTTTGGTTTACTGTCCCTTGTGGCAGTACACTGATGAAACAGATTCTGAATAAATCTTATGTACAGGTAGTTATCAAATATAATAACTTTATCAATATTAGCTGATCCTTGGAACCTGCTGTGAAATTCACTCATACTTGTGGAAATTTAAACACATTTTCATGTACTGATAGGCAACTTATTTTAGCAAAAGTTATGTTCTTCATAAGTTATACTTCATAAATACTGTAACCCAAATTATAAATATGCACTTCCCCCTTTCACTTTTTGGTGAAGTCATACTCCTACTTCAAATCATAGCTTAAATATAACTTTTTATGTAAAGCCATTCCTGAACCCTAGGCTGAATTAGCTATATACTTTTTTGTAGGCTTAATCATATTATACTGCATAGTTATCCAGAAGAATCCTATTACTTGCTTGTAAAGAGACAGATTTTTAATTCTAATAATTTAGCTGATGTATACTATATTAATTTCCTAGAGCTGCCATAACAAATTCTAACTTAAAACAACAGAAATTTATTCTTTCACAGTTTTGGAGTTCAGAAGCTCTAAATCAAAGTGTTATCAGGGCCACGCTTCCTCCAAAGTCTCTTGGGGAGAATCCTTCCTTGCCTCTTCGAGCTTCTGGTGGCACCAGGCATTCCTTGGCTAGTGGCAGCATCATTCCATTCTTTGCTTCAATCTTCACGTGGCTTTTTCCCCTATGTCTCTCTGTCTGTCTTCTCCTTTTCTGTCTCTTATGAGGACACTCATCATTGGATTTAAGGCCCACCCTAATCCAGGATGCTACCACCCATCTGTCATTTTGTCATTCTCTGTTGGCTTGCATGTTGCCATGATGCTGGAAGCTATGCCACCAGTATTTCAAATACCAGCAGGGTCACACCTGGTGGACAGGTTTCAGTGAAGCTTCCAGAATAAGACAGACTAGGAAGAAGGGCTTGGTGATCTACTTTAGAAAATCAACAAATGAAAACCCTGTGAATCCGTCCTATCTGCAGTGGATCATGGGGATGGTGTAGGACCGGACAGCATTTCATTCTGTTGTGCATGGGGTCTCCATTGAGTCAGGAGCCAACTGGATGGCAGCTAACAACAACAACAACAAGTCTAGATATCAGCTTGCATAAAAACAACAATGCAAAAAAAGAGCAAGGTGCCCACCACGGATATTTTCAGAAACTCTGCTTAAATATTCAGGCTTCAGAGAGAGAAGTAGTATGAGATCACGTGAAACAAAATACCAGATGTAATAACCAACCTATAAGAATTAAGAAGTATCTGGTGCTCTAAGCCCTTATTTATGTGTCTGTGGATGTTTCATAGATTTGGGTCTTTGATCTCCATCCAACCAAGTGAACTCTAAAAGCAGTACGATCTCCCCAGTTAAAAGCTAAGAGTACCCACAGACAGTTCTCCCCAGGAAAAAAGACACCTTTGATCTTCTCAGGTTCTCAGTTTCAGCACGCAGTTTATTGATCACTGATTATGTGCTAGGCCCTAAAGGCACCAAAAAGAACAAGACAAAGTTCCTGCCCTGAGGGAGCCACCCATCTAGTACAGGAAATAATGTAAAAGTGCAATATAAGGATCCCATTGAAGTTGCTAGAGAAATCTATCCTCTTTGCTACTAAGCTGTCTAGGAGGACAGGGTAGACCTCACAGTGAGGGACTACCTAGGCAGAGGTCTTTGCCAGGTGGTCAGGGAGGGGATTCACCTTCTTGACAGAGGAAGCTGCATGAGGAAAGACTTGGAGATGCCCTACACTTGCATATTACCAAAGCCTAAAATGAAGTGGTAGAGTATGAGATAAGGCTAGAGAAGCGGACAGGAGCTTCAACTCTTTCATTACTAAATTTTTATTTTTTTTAAAAAAAATTTTGATGCTGTGTATTTTCACTAATTATGACATTCTTATTCAAAGACCAATTCAAAATTTTTGATATGAGTTATGGATTTTGAGATATATGATCTGGTAATACAAGCCACCAATAAGGCAAGTGGCCCTGTGGTGCCACTGTGGTATGACAGTATACCAATAAGAACTAAACAGATGGTTTATTGCGAGTGCCTTTCCATTAGGTTATGTGGGGAACCTCTGGTTTTCCAAATACGACACCGACAAACCAAACCAAACCCATCAGGGCTCCCTAACTATCATATAAAACCCCTTCCAAACCTGTTGCCATTGAGTCAATTCCAACTCATAGTGACCCTGTAGGACAGAGTAGAAATGCCCCATAGGGTTTCTAGGAGTGGCTGATGGATTCAAAGTGCTGAGCTTTTGATTAGCAGTCAAGCTCTTAACCACTGTGCCACCAGAGCATGCTTGCAAGCCTTATCTCGCAGAAATAAAGGAAGAAAAGACAAAAGTTTACAAAACTAACACATCCAGGAAGCATCACCTAATAGAATGCTCAACCTACACAACGATGAGACTCCAGCTCCTGTCTGATGAGCTTCCTGCATTTCAGAAGGGACCTACCTTGACACTAAATTCATTAGAACCAGAATAACATACTACCTATAAGGTCCGGAGGCATAAAAAGTGGCTGGTATACAGTTACACCCATAGTAACGAAAGGGTTAATTAGAAGGACCTTGTGGGCCATGCAGAAGAACTTGGATTACCCCCGATGATGGGAGTGATTTAGGTGCATGAGTAATACAAATCAGATTTGCTGCATAGAAACATGGTTCTGGCAGTCTTAATGTAAGGGTGGATGCAGAGGCAGGGAAGGTAGTTCAGTGGCTGTTGTTAGTAGAACATGGTCCTTTTGCATTCCAAACTGGATGCCAAGCTAAATAAGTCTTTCTGAAATGTGTAACCCATCATACCACCTTCCAGTTCAAAAACTAGCAATGATTTCTCTATGCCTATAGGAAAAGCCCAAAATGAAAGTGTTTCTTATTCAGGACTCACCATTGCCTGGCCCACTAATTTAATTTCCCCCTGCTGCTCAACCATAGAGACAATGAAAGGTTTTCTTTTTCCTCTCTTGCTTATAACCACTCCTAAGGTGTGAGTCCCACATTAGAAGAATAAGAGGCACAGATTGAGGGTAAAGTCTGTTCATTGAGTGGACACTTGACTTTGTCATGTGGAAACTTGGACTTTTACATTTTCTTTATTTTCTAGATGGAAATAAATTTTTTAAGTCATATTTTTCCTAATTTGGTCTAAGAAATTTCACAGCTGATTTCTTTTCCATAATTAAAAGCAGCCATGTTGTTGTTCTGTGCTGTCAATTCCAACTTACAGCAACCCTATAGGACAGAGTAGAACTACCCCATGCAGTTTCCTAGGCTGCAAACTTTACAGGAGCAAATCACCAGGTCTTTTCTCCCACGGAGCTGCTGGTGGGTTTGAACCTCAGACCTTTCAGTTGGCAGCCAAGTGCTCAACCACTGTGCCACCAGGACTCCTAAGAATGGCCATTCTGGTTTTTTTAGTTTTGCTCCATGGCAAGGTTTACCAGATACTTCTAATTAAGTTCCAGATTTTGTACAAATCTTCTAAGAATTTTCAAACAAGACCCTAAATCATTTTGGGGGAGGGTGATTGTGTGTCTTTAAAATATATATATATTATATTATTGATATATATAATAAAATACCCTTTTAAAATGTTAATGCATTAATTGAAGTGAAGTTTAGTCTTATAAACCAGAAAGAGGAAATGCTGGTTCATTATTATAATTCTCATATTAAAAACTCACGTACGTATCTGCTACAGATCCTTTACTCTGGTTTAGCACAATTGATAATGTCCAAGGTCACCCTCATCCAAATTTCAGACGTATTTAGTCTTCTGCTTGTAGTACTTCTTTTGAATAATAAGCTACATGTTTTGTGAGTAGCTCAGGTACCTCTGAAGTCTCTGGTGAATACCATCTGGTCCTAGTGATAGATTGCAGTGTTTCAGATTGTTTTTTGCATCTTTCCATCTCTCCATTCCCATAATTTATTTTCCATTTTTACAACCTATAATAGATTACTACCTATGAATGTTTTTACTGCTTTTTTTGTGTGTGTGCTTTAGGTAAAAGTTTACAGAGCAAATTAGTTTCTCATTAAACAGTTAATACACATATTGTTTTGTGACATTAGTTGCCAACCCTGTGACATGTCAGCACTCTCCCCTCCTTGACCTTGGCCCACATTTCTATTCATCCAGCCTTCCTGTTCCCTCTTGCCTTCTCATCCTTGCCCCTGGGCTGGTGTGCACGTTTGGTCTCATATACATGGTAAATATGGAACGCTTCACAAATTTGCATGTCATCCTTGGACAGGGGCCATGCTCATTTTCTGTGTATCCTTGTCAATTTTAGTATATGTGCTACTGAAGCGAGCACTGTGTGCTGCCAAAGCAAGCACTAATTTTTTTTTAAATGAATGACATCTCCCTTTATTTCTGAAAGCAAGCAAGCACACCAGCATGATACTGTTTTATGTGGTGTGTTGGTATCAAAACAATAGAACTTTCCTCATTCATAGAATCTTTGAATTGATCAGTGTACAACTTATTGTATGTATTCTTAGCTAATATCAAGTATATTTCCTTCAAATAGGTAATTTGGGGGGAAAATCTAGTCTGTTATTTCAAAAAACAAACAAGATAGTAGTTTCCACTTCATTAGGAAAGATGATTGGTATCAACCAGTGTATCCTCTGCTTTCTTCAGTTAGCTCTGTTTTGAGAGCAGCAGCAGTATCCAGGGACTGACACGAAAAGAGAAGGAAAAAACAAACAAAAATCTCCTGCCTTGATTGAAAGTAATTTCAAAGCCTTTGTCCCGTAATTGTGGTATATTAAAGACTGGACAGATAATTTTAAAAGTGGATAATGACATCTAGGAAATTAAGACAGGGATTGGGAGTCAGAGTATTTGGGATTGAAGTCTCAGGGGAAGACAAACAGAACATGTATTAAAGGAAAAGAAAGTAGGTATCCACTGAACAACAGAAGAAACCCTGTAAAATCGAATAAGATGGATTCATTTTGGCGAATTAGAACAAAGTGATCTGTCTGAGATAGTTTGCAGATTAACAGTTAAATTTCGTATAGGCAAATGCTCTGAATTTTCAGGTGTTCCTCTCCACTATCTATTCTGAGTTGATTTATCTACGTTGAATTGATTTGGAAGCCAGATTACAAACGAACTACTGAGAATTCAGGCCACTTCTCTGAGATTACTAGAAATGTATGCATGTGTACATTCACAAACAATAGCCAGCATTACCAGTTGATGATCACCTAGGCACTGAAATGGATGGGCAAGAGTTGAAATTGACTGCTATTTGGGATGTCCTATTCTCAAGATCACCATGAGTCCAGAAAGTGCAGCTATGTATCAAATGTTTACATGTCAAATGTTTTTGTGCTATGTCTCACTCAAGAACCTAGTGATGGAGTTCTTGTTCCATCAGCTTCACTATACTGAAGTTTTATCTGTAGTAAGTGGAGTTACATTGTAATCTTCAGAGTGATGATTGGTTGTTCTAAAAGCCTAAGGTTACTTGAATGATCCACCCCTATTCTCTCTGCATATTTGACAGTCTAAAGTCATTTTCTGACCAGCCTACCTTCCAGGGTAACCCTAATTCATATATTATCTCTGCCTAGAACATCTTCCCTGGCCTTCTCTGCATCTCCAACTCCTTCCTATTCGTTACTCAGGACTCAGTTCAGATATTACCTTCACCTTTTCTATGAAATGTTCTTGCTGACTCCTTGCCTCCGCCCAAAAGCTAACCATCCACCCTGAATTTTTTGTTTCCTCTTCTTAGTGCTTCCTTTTCTGTTATCCGTTTCGTACTTCAGCTTCAACATTAGAGTTGTGACAGTGATATACTTTGCTCTTATATTTTATGTTCAAATGCCAGTAAATGTCAGCATTACTCCTGTCCAGTAGGAGCCCTGGTGGTGCAGTGGTTAAGTACTAGGCTGCTAACCAGAAGGTTGGTGGTTCAAGCCCACCAGCCACTCTGGGGGAGAAAGATGCAGTAGTCTGCTTCTGTAAAGATTTATGGCTTGGAAACCCTATGGAGCAGTTCTCCTTTGACCTGTAGGGTCACTATGAGTACAAATTCAACTCGAAGGCAATGGGGTTTTTTGGTATGTCCAGCGAAGCCCCGGGGGAACAGTGATTAAATGCTAGACTGCTAACCAAGCGGTCGGCAGTTTGAACCCACCAGCTGCTCTATGGAAAAAAGATGTGGCAGCCTGTTTCCATAAAGATTTGCAGCCTTGTCATAAGTAACAATGCACAAACAACAGAAGAGAAACTAGATAACTGGGAGCTCCTAAAAATCAAACACTTACGCTCATCAAAAGACTTCACCAAAAGAGTCAAAAGACAGCCTACAGACTGGGAAAAAAATTTTGGCTATGACAAATCCAATCAGCGTCTAATCTCTAAAATCTGCAAGATACTGCAAAACCTCAACAACAAAAAGACAAATAACCCAATTAAAAAACGGACAAAGGATATGAACAGGCACTTCGCCAAGGAAGACATTCAGGCGGCTAACAGATGCATGAAGAAATGCTCACGATCATTAGCCATTGGAGAAATGCAAATCAAAACTACAATGAGATACCATCTCACCCCAGCAAGGCTAGCATTAATCCAAAAAACACAAAATAATAAATCTTGGAGAGGTTGTGGAGAGACTGGAACACTTATACACTGTTGGTAGGAATGTGAAATGGTACAGCCACTTTGGAAATCGATTTGGCACCTGCTTAAAAAGCTAGAAATAGAAGTACCATACGACCTAGCAATCCTGTTCCTTGGAATATGTCCTAGAGAAATAAGAGACATCACATGAACAGATATATGCACATCCATGTTCATTGCAGCACTGTTCACAATAGCAAAAAGATGCAAACAACCTAGGTGCCCATCAACAGACGAATGGATAAACAAATTATGGTATATCCACACAATGGAATACTATGCAACAATAAAGAGGAATGATGAATCGGTGAAACATAACACGGAGGAATCTGGAGGACATAATGCTGAGTGAATTTAGTCAGTCACGGACAAATATTGTATAAGACCACTATTATAAGAACTCAAGAAAAGGTTTAAACACAGAAGAAAACATTCCTGGATGGTTACGAGGGTGAAGAGGAAGGGTGAGGGTTATTCACTAACTAGATAGTAGACAAGAATTATCTTAGGTGAAGGGAAGGGCAGCACACACTAGAGGGTAAGTCAGCACAACTGGACTAAACCAAAGCTAAGAAGTTTCCTCAATACAATCAAACACTTCAAGGGATAGAGTAGCAGGGGCTGAGGTTTGGGAACCATGCTTTCAGGGGACATGTAGGTTAATTGGCATAACAAAGTTTATTAAGAAAATGTTCTGCATCCTACTTTGGTGAGTAGTGTCTGGGATCTTAAAAGCTAGCAAGCGGCCACCTAAGATGCATCAATTGGTCCCAACCCACCTGGAGTAAAGGTGAATGAAGAACACCAAAGACACAAGGAAAGTATTAGCCCAAGAGACAGAAAGGGCCACATAAACCAGAGACTGCATCATCCTGAGACCAGAAAAACTAAATAGTGCTCAGCTACCACTAATGACCGCCCTGACAGAGAACACAACAGAGAATCCCTGATGGAGCAGGAGAAAGGTGGGGAGCAGAACTCAAGTTCTAGTAAAAAGACCGGACTTAATGGTCTGAGACTGGAGGAACCCAAAAAAACATGGCCCCCAGACTCTCTGTCAATGCAGAACTAAAACTATTCCCAATGCAAATTCTTCAGACAAAGATTAGACTGGACTATGGGACATACAATGATACTTGCCAAGAGTGTGCTTCTTAGCTCATGTAGATACATGAGACTAAATGGGTAGCTTCTGTCCGAAGGTAAGATGAGAAGGCAGAGAGGGTCAGGAGCTGCTTGAATGGACATGGGAAATCGGGTAGAAAGGAGGAGTGTGCTGTCACAGCATAGGGAGAGCAATTAGGCTCACCTAACAATGTATGTATAAACTTTTGTATGAGAGACTAAGTTGAATTGTAAACTTTCACTTAAACTATAACAATTAAAAAATTAAAATTAAAAATAATAGAAGATTTACAGCCTTGAGAATCCTGTGGGGAGTTCTGCTCTGTCCTATAGGGTCGTTATGATTGGAGTCAACTTCATGGTAATGAGTCTGGTGTTTTGGTTTGTTACGTCCAGTGCTGAAGCTGAGGCACCCCTGGTTCCATTGTCTTCTTTTCTGCCTAGAGGATACTGTCCTTGCAGAAGCCAAGGCTACTCTTCTTCACCATGCTCTCCACATCATTAGCAAGCTGCATTTTCTGAAGCATCATTCTATGCTTGATCTCATTTTTCTCCCCTCAACTACATTTAGCAGATGACCAAATTAAGAAGCAAAAAACAGGTCAAACAACTGGTTTTTAGCATCGGCATTCTCACCGGAACCCCCAGATCTCTTTACTCTAAGCATATTGTCATTATGCTCCTCCACAGATCCTTCCGCTTACTAGCACCTTTAGCAGTGCTGTCCATTAAAGCAGAGGCATTTAAAATGTAGAGTGGTTTGTTTTGTTTTTGAAAATGATACCATTATTATATTTTAATGAACAGTTGCATGCACAGAATATTCCACGCATCTCAGTGTTTCTAAATACTGAACCACAGGTCCCAATTTTCATTTTTGAAATATCTGCATTTGTTTCCAGTTGTATCCCTTTCTAAAATTTTGCATTGGGTATCTTTTATATGAAACTGTAAATAAAAGTTCCTCTTGCTTGTCTGGCTATATAACAAGCAGCAGTTCCCCTCCCTAGGTTCTCTGCTTATGTAATGTATTGAGAGTTGAAATTTTTTTTCTGTTATAATTTTAGATTGTAACATACTTCTCTTTATTAAGGTGGGCCCATTGACATTCTGGGTACTAGTGACTTTTACTTCTTTAGAATTAAAACCGAGAAATTAGTAGACAAGAATTTATATGTGCAGAGAGAAAAAGACAGAAAGAATAGAAAAAGAATAAGTACATTTTACCTAACCATTTTTTTTAAACTATTTGTATATAGTTTTCTTTATTACCTCTGTCTGGTAAGATAACTGAAGATCTCCATGTGTCTGATGTCATTTCATTGCCTAATTTTGGTGAAGTACCTAGAATTTTTGATCATGTGATTAGCTGATTTGTTTCTTAAACCATTAACCTACACTTTCTATTTATAATCTTGATCTATGCATTAAGTATAATTTTTATAATTTAGTAATTCAAAGCTTTATAATATGCAGTTATTTATATGATTAGGCAAAAATTCCAAAGGCAATTACAAACAATTTTCGCAAATGAATTGTAACGTGTTC